CCTCTCATGTAGCCTACTCAGGCTTCCGCACAGGAGAGTACATTCCAGCTTTGCCTCACCACTGGAAAACCCGGGAAGCAACAGTGTATTCATGGGAGCTTTTTGAATATAATTCTGTACTTGGAACTGGTCACCGACATCAGACCAACCTCATCTTCAAGGATGGTTGCAAAAATGATAGGGTGATGGGCATGGACATCGTGAGGTTGAAAGACGTAAATTAGGAATTCGCAATAAATGGAATTTTCAGTGAAACCTAACTGAAATAGGAAAATAACCATGTTCGATTCTGATAATTTGAAACTGATGAGATAAGCTATGAGCGATGAATATATCACAATCATTGATTATTGGATGAAGGAGATTTTGAGAAATTGTGAAAAATGACTCATCATTGAAATATCCAAAGAAAACGAGTATCATAAATTACAGAAAACCATACCATGTTGTCTTCTTTTTTTCTTGCTTTCATCGAATCATTTGCTGAATAATGGATTTTAATGAAATTTGGAGGGAGTTTCTGTGTTTATTTTCACATAAACTAATTAAAAAATTGCCTATACGTAACTGTGGGAAAGGCTTCGGAAGTAAACCCTGAGGACAAATCTGGATCCGGAGTCCCTAAAACAGTTGGATGTTATTTTCAACTTCGTTCTGGTAACTCCTGTGACGACGTCTGTGCCAAGCTGTACTGGACTCTACCTTTCACTTAAACAACATCGGTGGCGTTGACAGTGGAAACATTCGACAAGGGCAACGGCCGATTACTCGTAAACCCTGTCAGGGCCTTCAACCCGGAGAGGACATAGCATCGTTTCACCGCGACAACAAAGCACGAGAAGCAACAGTTTATTGATGGGATGATTCCGAAGTTAATACTGTACGGGAGACTGGCGAAGAGGGCAAGTGTGTGACATCATCTTCGCTTCAAGGGCATCTGCGAAAGGAATATGGTGCGATGGGTAGAACATCGAAATGTGAGAAGACGTTGCCAACGATTTCTCAAGCTGGAGACACGAGGGCTGGAGCGACGAGGGGAGAAACGGAGTGCTCGATGGAAAGAAAACAACACGTCGACATCGAGGGAGAGCGTCTTCTCGTGCATTCGTTGCAATAGAGACTGTCACTCCCGAATGGTCCTGTAAAGCCATAACAGATGCTGCACCGCGATCAACAGCTAAGGAATAAGTTTTTGATCCCTTAAGACCAACGGATGCCTTATAGTAAGGGATTTTTTTAATTATAAAGGTAATTTACGTTAACCAGGAAAAAAAGCTTAGACAGAAGCGTCTATCTTTTTAAATTTGGATTTTTTAATGAAACTATAACAACAAAAACATTTCGATTTCATTTTTGCCTTGAAAAAGTCGGAAGACGAAACACGCCGGCAAAATCTAAGATATTTTCCAATTGTCATTTTATACCAATCTGTCTTGTCCACAGAATTGATCTGGGAATTTAATATATATATATATATATATATATATATATATATATGAAGAAAATATCTGGAAAAACAAAACAAAAATCCCTAAAATGCGATTATGTTGTTTTAATATGAATGAAATGTCGACGTCTGACGTTTCGGTTTAATAACCTTCTTCAGGACAATATTCATTAAAAATACAATTAACATAATCAGTATAACACGACGAAAACGATGGACATAAAAACAAGTCTTATCCAAAACAAATAAATGAAAATTTTAAATGATCAGCTTTCCATTTGAGCGTGGTCACGTTGTCGTCAAATGGGCGACGCTTTCAAAACGTATTCTTAAGAATTTTTATAAATTTGATTCCGATTGAAAGATTTTTCATATATACAGTTCGTTAGAAAATCTTTTCTGTTCTTGTGGGAATACGCGGAGACTAGTAGATTCCTGTATCATCGCCCATTTGACATATTTTCTTCATTCTGTCGGATTAATATCCATTTATATTTGCTTAATATATATATATATATATATATATATATATATATATATATATATATATATATATATACGAAATGATGCTAAAGATGGTGCTCAGATCATTTCTGTTTGAAGGATAAAATGATGTCATGATTCAGGTACAAGATGTTTTCACTTATCTCACTGATTTTTTTTTATTGATTTAGTTATTAAAGGTTTCTTGTACGTTCTTTATACGTTTAAGATCAGTTAAAAACAGAATGGTTCTAATTGAGCTGAATGCGTTGATAGTTCTTTCGGTTATTATGAACAAGGAAAAAAACGGACACAACATGGCCAACCTGGTTGCTTTTATTCATTTGCATTCCATCAAAACAACTTGTCTCCTGTTCTATCTAGAATACGGCTCGAAACAATATCTGGATCCAGTCAAACTATGAAAACCAAAAACATAGATATCGATTTATTACGTGGATGCAGTGTTTCAATAACAGAAAAATAAGGTCACAATTATATGATTCACTGTTTATCTTTCAGTGTATCAATTCAACGAGTGGATACCAATCATCAACTTTAACTAGTTGCGCTTAGCTTTTCCAAAAGCTTTTCACTGTTTCTCTCTCCACGTGATGCTTATGCTTTGTACCAATCAAAAACAATAGGCGCAACTGGTTATATGTGGTTTATAGTAAGGGAACTTTGGTAGAATCTATTTATGTAATGAATTAAGTATGGGTTTGTAATTGTTGATGAAAAATGTTTCATAATTAATCCGCCTTTGTTCAATGGTTCTGTAGCCGCACGGGTAGAATGGTAAGACACTAAAAATTGGCAGATTTTGTCCACCGCATTCCTCTAGATGTTGGCTAAGGGTTATTTTTTTGGTGTATATATATATATATATGATTTTATAAAAATATATATGATTTTTTTTAACATATATATGATTTTTTGTGACACTATTTAGCTAGGGTATTTGGCTAACTAATTAAGCATGGAAATTAAAAACGAGAAATACTTAAGGCGAGAAAGAGCTATAACGAAAGACATACCGAGCGACATTATATTTTTAAACAAAAAAGAAAATGGGAAAAAAATTTTATTTTCATTTTAAGAAAGATATTTTTTTGCAGAAGACAGAAAATTCGTAAGAGAAGCAGATTTCGGATTCTGTCGAATTAATTAATGTCATGACACGACAAGGAAAACAGAATTCTAAAAGATAAACAAAACTGGGCCAAACATGCGACCAAAAAGGAATTTCAGTGAATAGGCACTAATTATCTTTCAGAGATATCATTTAGTTTTGGTTCTTGTGTCCAGCGAGGAGACCCATCTGCTGTATATCCGGATCTTGACATGAGAAGATAGGGTCGAGAAGAGGGAATCATTGTTACTGCCTGCTCAAAACTGTTAACGACAGACTTTCTGTCACCGAGAACGGGCATCTGAAAATGCGATAATATTGAGACGAGAAAGACAAAGAGATTTAGTCTACAAATGGGAACGATCATCCACTTAATTGTTGACTAGCGGTAGTTAATGAGTCGAGAGATTTCCGCTAATAAATTCCAGGTGACCCCAAATTTAATGGCTGCAATATGCGATTCATAAGAAGTCTGGCCGATAGAAAAGAAAGAAAGAAAAGGGAAGATATTTTTTTTTCTTTGGGCGATAATGTAAACTAATGCCATTCTAGCCACACCCACACTGCCGAGCGTTCATTGGCTGAGTGGTGGCGTGAGTGATGGGCGTAGGTGAACATATGAGAAAGAAGGGAAACTTGCTGACGCCCACTGAAGGGATTGGTATGAGATACCAGTGTGAGAAAGGAAAAGTTTAGGAAGATAATTCTCCTTCCACATCTCCTCACAGAAAGGGGAGAACCCCTCTAAAACAGAAAGTAATCGACTTCCAAAAATGGGAAGTGATACATTTTCTTGTCTGAAGACAAAGAGAATCCTTATTGGGGATCTGGAATTATCGAAGAACCCAAACCACGACAGGCCCCAACCCGGTTTTCGTCGGGGTCCATATAAACAAACGTCCCCGGGCGTTCAGAAAAAAAAGAGAGTTGGGTTGGAGATCGGAGAGGCACGCAGATCGTCAGAGAGTTGTTGAGATCGGGGAGACCAGCTTCGCAGGAGCTGACCACCAGATTTCCACGCATTCCGACTTAGACTTCTAACCAAAAGCATTTTTTTTAATGAAGAACGACTTAGACTTACACCACCAAAGCAAGTTTTAATGAATATCACCTGAATATACCAAAAAGCAGTTTATTGAAAAACAACTTAAGATATCAAGACTCGCTTAAAAAACGAAAAAGTGTCACGCATCCATAGAAGTGGGTTGGGAGAAAGACGCACTTCTGTATACAGCAGACAGATATAAAGATACTTGTTATTTTTTCAACACATTTGAACTTTTCTTCATTATTTTCTTTTACATACACTTGTGCGTTATCACCTTACCGGATTCAGCATGCACTACGGCCCGACGCCTGATTGATTTCGTCTATCTAAGATCAAATCACATCGTGGGTCGGTTGGACTAGAGATCAAAGCAGTTAAATCGGTAACCAGACGTTGGAGGCGAGCTGAGAACGACAAAACTGATATCGAATCTAACCAGACATCGACCGCGACCAAGACAACCAGAGGGGTTAGTGTCACACATGGTTCCGTGGTAAACCAGGTTTCCATCCGAACTAGCAATGGGTTAGATCGTCACAGATTGTGCTGCAATAAGCCCAGGGTTAGAGTGTCACATTTTATAACATATATATGATTTTTTATATCATATATATGACTTTTTATAACATATATATGATTTTTTATAACATATATAAGATTTTTTTTATCCTATAGCCTTGGTTGCTTACCAGTCTACTGCAGAGTTAAACGGCTGCCTACTGCGCGAAAAATTATGTCATGAATCAAAAAAGATATGATCGCCCATCGTGTGTTTCACGTATGGCACTTAACCGTCTACTTTATCACTGCCACTGGCTTTCATATGCGTTCGAAGGCAGGTCCGTAGGAAGCACATCCGGGCTATTCCTTCAACTGTTTCCTGCTATAACTAAGGGAATGGTTCTGCAGGAGCAGGCTCTCAGCATTATTGGAGGTCGCTGGATTTCTTCTGCACATAATTATATCTTCGGGCTTTTAAATAAACATATCAGACTATTATGTTTTTAGTGACAGTGTATTTTGGGAATGTTAGAGAAATAGGAAATGATTTCAGAGTGTTAATATGGTAGACAAAAAAGGGATGTGGATTTTGGTTGGCTGAGGCGAACGTGGGAATGTTAGAGAGATAGAAAATGATTTCCGAGTGTTAAAATTTTACACGTCGAAGAATATAGACGTGTTATTTTTATGTGTATGGGATTTGATCCCTATTAGGGCTGATAGAGCGACCCCACTGTCTAGTTTAAAATGTACACGTCGACATGTTTAATAATATAGATAATTTTAAAAATCCCTTTTGTTGAAGTTCTCATATTGCCTCTGAATTAAAAATCAACTAGCAATCACCCGACCAAGAGAAGAAAGAGAAGAAAAGTTTTTTTTAAGATTGCCTCAAGACCGTCAACTAAAAGACCTTCCCAGAACGTAGGGGAGTATGAAACATAGTGATCGGCGATAGCCCCAAAAGATTTCATTTCGATGATTTGTCTTTGATCTTGTGATGTAGAATATATTGGCTATTGTACACTTTTTAAGTAATGATATTTCACAGCGGAAACATTAAATACTGCAAAATACTGTAATATTCTCTGGTGTAGTATTACCCATCAGTGGGAACAGAACTCTTTAACATTCTATTAGATACACGAAAACCTTAGTCAAAATAAAAGGCTTTGAAATCATGGCCTGGTATTTATTAGATATTCACACAAACGTTACCTTTTAAAATGCCGTTCAAAACCGATCGCCGCTACAATGCATTGGTTTCTACAATTTAATCTGGCCGATATTGATTACAGCATTAATCTGTAGTGTTACGTTTATCTCTTTCTTATATTGTTATCATTATTTATGCATAAATTTCCGACTTATAGGTCCTAATGTAATCTGAGTGGTCTGTTTCTCAAACGTGATCGATGTCTCTACTGAGCTACTGTACTAACCAGTTCTCTATTTCGCGCGCATATTTCTCTTCTCATCAATCTTGTCCAAAATGTGTCTTGTCAGTTGATATGACTTGATTATGGAGAATGCGGAAGCAGTTTTGAACTAGCACTTTGGAACACCATACCAGTGTTTACTTCTGCAGTACACCTTTACAAAGATTCTCTGCTATCTTTCGAACATTGTTTGAAATATTTCAAATGTGCAGTCGCTTTTATTTCCCCATTTTATTTGCTTTATTGTAGAGGAAAATTTTCATGAGACAATTTTAAAAACAATAATCGCGGCAGATATTTTTAACATCTTATTATTAAATGAATTAAACGCAGCTGAAATATAGAAATATGATACGATACAGGAACCACGAATCACGAATATTAAGATACACACACACATACACACACACACATATATATGTGTGTGTGTGTGTGTGTTTTAATGCGTGCTATATTTATGGAATTAAGTGCTTAATATCAGGAATAGAGTGTATGTAAATATAAGAGTGAACATTGAAGCCAACACTCAGACTGTTTCATGCTCGACGCAATCATCAGGGCTGATGATAGCGTCTAGCTAGCAGGAAACTGCCTGTGCCTCTGAGTTTTGACTTCTTTAATGTTATATATATATATATATATATATATATATATATATATATATTGTAGCATACCTATGTATGTGGCCATTCACATAAATAAAGTAGTGAATACTTTACGTGGTCGAGAGTTAGGGATTCATTGTGGAATTAACTTGACTGACTTCTACCAGTTGACTACTACATCTACGCACCGCTGGCAAATCTTATGTGTGTTGTTCTTGTACTAAATATTATCGCACATCATCAACCTTCGCCTGATTATTTTATTCACTGACTGTTCCTAAGTTATAACAATATAAATACATATATATATATATATATATATATATATATATATATATATTTTGTGTGTGTGTGTGTGTGTGTGTGTGTATGTGTGTGTGTGGTGAGTCGAAAAAACTCCCTATTTAAAATTGTTAATAACTTTATTAATAGGTGTTCGATTTTCTTAAAAGTGTTTTATTTTAGACAGATTAATAAAAAAACTGTGGTGTTAATATTTTACATAGGTACTGGTCTTGTCTACCAGTGTTTTTTTAATTTTCTGGGGATATCCTTGATCATTTCCTGTGCTTCTTTGGAATTCTTATTTGGGTGTTGAAGGACGGCAAGCTTATGTGGTTATTTACCACTCATCAGCTTGAAATGACGGCTTCTGATTCTTTTGTCATCTCCGAAATAACGAGATCCATGCATACTGCCTATGTCTACTTTGCACTTATACAACAGACCGCCACATTTCGTAACTGCTCAGGCAGTATCAGGGGTTGTGCCATTCAGCAGTGTCCTTGTCAATCTGAAAGAACAAACAAAATTATCAATGAATTCCTACCATGTTAGAAATCACAATATGCAGGGTGTCCCATAAAGATTGGACACATTTTAAACGCAAGTATCTTGGATTATAAAAATAACATAGATTATCAAAGACACCTATTACATAACTTTGGGCACCTCGAGGAGGTGTAATGGTTAGCATGCTCGTCTCGCTAGAACAATTACAACTGCGTATATATATATATATATATATATATATATATATATATATTGGATCGTATTTACGATTCCAATGGAATAAATTATGAGCATGGAATATTAGTGTTTAAGCCTTTATATATATATATATATATATATATATATATATATATATATATATATATGCATTTTTAATACTTTTCGGTGAGTAAAAAATCTATATTTATCACTAATACAAATTATAGTTGTGTTATTCCATATTGAGCACAATTCTATCAGCACAAATACTCAATATGCCCGATATGGAACGCACAAGTCTTTGGGTCAAGAGAATTTTTTAATTACTCAAGCGACGCTTTATCCACTGGACTATTTCACGTATATCAGCTGAAGAAGTTTGAAGCGTATAACGACCGAAATGTCGTGAATATGGCAATAAATGTGAGGACAACAGTCCGAACAGTGAAAATATTGTAAATAGTTAGAAAATCTCATTTCAGAAATATTTAACAGATATAGATGTTTCGACGTCTGGATTAACTTAAAAAATGTTATCCTATATGAAGAGTCCTTCGTCTGGATACTCTAACTATAAGATGAATTGCATGTTTTAAATACGCTTCTTCAACTTGATAAAAGCAATCGGAAATTCTTGCCGCAAAACCTATACTCTTGGTTTGTACTTTACGGGGACGTTTACATTCATTTCTTTTAATTGATAAGTTTTGCTCAGTTTTCCTTTTTCCGGACGTTTTTGATAAAGTCTTAAATTAGCAAATAAGAAATTGTAAATATGTATAATAAAACCGATATTTTAATTTACAAATAATATGGTATATTTATCATACAAATATGAATGATCTTAATCTATAACATTTTTACTTTTATTAAATCGTTGAAATGATTTTACGTGAAAGGACCTTTAATCCTTATCAACCGTGTCTGTTCATATTTTTTGACTCATCACTGCATAAGGTAGTCAAAAAATTTGGGAACATATATATATATATTTTTAACAAGAGCTATTTGTGTATTCGCATTATCTTCTACCCTCTTTTCGGGACAGTTAAAGCCTAGCCACATTACTCGTTGGATGAAAGCACAATTGCATGGTCATTATCTTCCTTGTCTTTCGGTCCAAGTTTCTTTGTCTCTTTTTGGTTTATCCAGCAATGCCTGTTCGTTATTTCACACCTCAACTACTAACGCAGTGATTCCTGGAAACAAAGATCTTTCATTCAAATTAAATCGATATACATTCTTTATACGTTGAATATACGTACTTCTTATTCTTGATTTCATCTTGTTTATGAGAGACATGTTCACCTGTATAACTCCCAGATATTTGTAACCACTGCTATCTACCTCTTTAATAGATGCTATATCAAGAAATTCTATCCATGGGCTATACATATTTCTTAATTTTCAGCACAGAACAGCTATCAAATTCAAATGACATCCTGATATCCTGGGAGCATACCGTAATGGTCTTCACCAATTAAGACAACTGGTCATTATTCCTTAGGATCATTTCTTAACAACAGGTGACTGATGGGCTGTTTCTAATCCCTTGTAAGCTCGAAGCCAGATTTTGTCTCATTAGAGGAGGCACGGTGGAGGAATCGGAGAGCCGAGTTCGAATTACAATCGCATTCGATATCACTAATACACATTTAGTTGCAGATGTTTGTTATATATGCGTAGATATCCCATGGATTTTGTTGCTCAAATTAAAACACTTTTTTTCTCGGCTGATCTAAAACAGTATCCTAAATATCATTAAAAGCTGAACATGAAAAATAGTTTTTAACAGAAATTGGTTTCGAATTTTATAACTGAGAAAGACTGCGACACAAAGACTCCAGATAATGTTTTTTAAAACGGGAAATTTGCAGTGCCTAATGTTCAAGGAGTCATTTGGAAAAACTGATGGCATACAATAAAAAGATGATGGGGGAAATAAAATAAACATTATATAAGCTTATAAATTTAAGATGTAATATCAATTACATAAAAAATATTATTTTAGGATGACATTTGCAAGTCGCTCTATTATTTATAGAAACATAATATAGATAGATAGATAGATAGATAGATAGATAGATATGTGTGTGTGTACTAACACACAGGGTGCGATGGATAAATTGATGTCTAAATTAAGCAAAAAGGAAAATGATATTTACATTTCATTTTAACAGATATATTTACCAGAATTACTCAAAAAAATAATATAGAGTACATTTTGTCAATAAAATCGCCATTTGATTAGACCAGGGCCTTCAGACAACTTCGGAATCTCCTGCAACTCTTCTGGGCGGTCTCCTTCTTGGTTGGTAAATGTTGTCATAATCCTTGCCTTTAGTCCATATTTGGTGTTACAACGAGTTTTGTTAGTCTTGCGCTCGACTGTGCCCCACACAATGCATCCTGGGGATTTAGGTGACCAGATTTAAGAGATGATCTGGTCGCAGAAATTATCTGAGAGCCATGACTGGGTCCTATTGCTTTTGTGGCATGATGCAGCGTCCTGTTTTTAGACATAGGATCTTTCAACAGCTATTCTCTTGACCCTTGGCAGCACTACCCCAGGATACTTGATATAGGCCTTTGTGTTGAGTCTGAGGCCCTAACCAACAAATGCCGGAGTTCTTTTCTTATCAAACAACTCAGAGTTAACTTTCTGAGCTACCGTACCTTCGTAATCACCATTGGACACATCCAACTCTTTCTGAATCCTATGTACTGTCCTCAGATTGACACCAAAACTCAGTGAAATTTTCATATTGGAGCTTCCGTTGCGATTGCCAAGCAGTACAGTATAGACTTTTCAAATTTCATCGCGCTCTTTTCTCACAGACGGTTCACAACTGACCCTACTATACTGTACTGTAGACAAAATCAAAAATAAACAAAGCAGGTGCGCGAAATTAAAAGCATAAAATGGCGACAATTTATCATCACAGCTTGTATATATGTACATATGATAGGATAAGGAACAAATTGTTTATAAATCTAACATGCTTCGGTTTTATTAAAGCTTCATCAGACAATTATGTATATGAGAAGTATAAAGTAAAAGAAAAAAATCTGGTATGTTTAATTTTTGTGTAGTTTGTTTTTCATTACTTAAGCAGACTTTACGTGCATCTGTCTTGTCAAGCAACGTTTCTGCGTATAATTCATGTGTGTAGGTTTATCATAATTCTAGTTTAGGTATGTGGGATTTGAATGATAACGTACATTAATTTGTGTGTAGTGTGTATATGTACGTATGTGTATGTATGTGTTTCTTTAAGGAACTGCTGATGATAAACAGATTCTTTGCAGCTCTTGAATAGATTTTTCGATTTACGCCTTTATCAATGATTTAAATGAAACAATCATTCTGTTTCTGGTTCATAAGTGCTTTCTAGGAACATAGAAATATAAATGCTATAAAGTCATTCATCATATATAGACGAACATGATTGTTTTCAGAGCAAATGTTTCTCTTTACATGTGTATGTCTGTCATATGCAAATAATTCATTTATTTGGTTAACTTTACTAAACGGAAATAATAATAATAATAATAATAATAATAATAATAATAATAATAATAATAATAATAACGGGTGCCGAAATACAGATAAAGCACAATACGCCGACTGAAGCTGCAAAATTCTTAAAAAAAGAAAGGAAAAACAAATGCAACCGACCAAATGCAGAAACGATGGAAAGATAAACCGCTTCACAGTCAATGCTTTGCCCGTATCAAACAAGGCGTTATAAACAAACACCGTACACATCAGTGGCTACGTAATGCAAGGTTAAAAGCTGAAACTGAAGGTTTTATCCTTGCTGCAAAGGTCTAGTGTTTGCTAAATAGAAATTATCAAGCGCCTGTACGATAATAAAATATTGTGTTAGCCCAACATGCAGATTCTGTGATAAATATCCAGAAACAATTGACAATTTTGTATCAGGTTGCACGGTATGGCACCCACTCTTTATAAAACCCGGAATGACAGAGTGGACCAATATCTGCACTCGAAAATCTGCAAATTCTACGGAAAGGAAATTGAAAGATATTGGTATGAACACCACCCAACCCGGTTGCATGAAACAATTTTATGGAACTACACAATACACAGAACAATCAAAGCTAACCGCTCAAATATTGTTATTAGAGACCGCAAACAAAAAAAAATGCTTCTTTATTAATATGGCAGCCCCTACAGACTGCAATGTATCTTTGAAGATCTTCAAAAAGCTTTCAAAATACATGGACCTTGAAATAGAAATCTTGAAAATGTGGCACACTGGTTAAAACATTTAAACCTTGAAAATGGCTAAATGTATAGCCGAAGGCGCGCGGATAAAAAGAACAATTGGACAGTTTTTATATAATTTATCATCCGAAAAGAAAAAAAAATTACATCGCATAAGAAATTGTATAAAAAAAACTAAATAAAAGCACATTGTCTGTCATATTCAATGAAATGTGTGTATATATATATATATATATATATATATATATATATGCGAATATATGGATCGTAAGGATCATCTCTCTCTCTCTCTCTCTCTCTCTCTCTCTCTCTCTCTCTCTCTCTCATCCGTTTGCATATGACTACAGGTGAATTAATCTGATTATGGTCTGGCATCGGAATGGTGAACATTGTCGGATGGCATTATGTGTCCGCCTTTCAACATTTAAGGTATGCTAAAGTTTATACAATTTGCAATTATATTTTTCTCTTATTTATTTTAAATCTCTTTGACTTTATTTAACTTTAATTTTTCTGATAAACCTCAATGTACAAGTCTGTTCACCTCTGACGTTTCATCTGGTAGTAGCCATTGCAACTTAAAGTTAAAACTTATTATAGTCAATACGATTTCCATGTCCCTATGTTACCCCACTCAATACAGTACTGAATTCTTGTACTATGGACATCTGAATATAATCCCTCACTTTCTCATGGACAGGACGATCTCTTTATTCTTGTTCGACAGTCGTCCTAGAGCTGGTATCTTGAACTGAATTACCCCTTAGCGGTCAAGGATAAAACGCAAAGAATTACAAATCTCAATGATTACGAACAAATATTCATACCGTAATGGCCGTCACACGGGTCAAAAAGGGCCGCGTAACAATTTGACGTTGAAAAATCTGTCATTGGAACAAACTCTTCCCCCCAAAAATGAGGCATCTGTCCAACTTGAACCAAGTGAATCAATTAATAAAAAGAAAACGAACGAAATGGCCTCGCGAAGAGTATCAACAATTCATGACATCCTGTTTGACCTCACTCGAAAATCTATAAAAAAACATCACGGATCAAACCAAATATGGAGAACTATGGAAGGAACTTGTATAAGACCCCATCTCACCCAAACATGCTTGCCAATGTTTGCAGGGAAATCGTGCGAAATAAAAGACTCTCAAATGCGGAAATAGATCAGATAAAACTAAATATTAAAAAGAATACAATAACGCATCACTTAAACAATAAAGAGATGAGACTGGAAATAAATAATATGACAGAGGAGGAGGTAAAAAATAAAATAAATGCACATCGGTAAGGATGGTATTAGCTGATGTTTTTCTTTTTTATAGCGCCTAATGTATGTCCACCTGACCTTTCATCTAGTACTGGTCATTGCGAATTATAGTAAGTTAAAACTTAGTATAGTCATTACCATTTCCATAACTCTATGTCACCTCCTTCAATGCAGTACTTGATAATGAACTCTTCAATTTGAATATACCCCCCCTCTTTCATGGGCAGGACGAGATCTTTAGTCTTGGTCGACAGTCGTTCTAGAGATGGTATATTCATGACATCCTTTTTGACCGCACACGAAAATCTCCAAAGAACATCACGTATCAAACATAACAAATATGGTGAACTATGGTAGGAAGTGGAATAAGACCCCATCCCAACGTAAACATGCTTGCCAGTGTTCACAGAGACATCGTCGAAAACAAAATACTCTCAAATGCTGAAATAGATAAAAACAAAGACAGAATACAATAACCCATAACTCAAACAATAGAGAAAGGATAATAGAAATACATATGACAGATGATAAGGTAAAAACGAAAATAAATGATATACAAATAATAATGTCCCAAGAAATAAAGCGGGAGAATCTACCTCTGGCCTAAACTGAAATTATCCAGATTAGCTCATTGAATATGAGTCCGACTATATTAAGGTAAAATTCCTGAAAACAACAGAGGTGAAATCACCGAAGCGGAAAACATCATCAAACAACAAATCTGTGTCTTGGTATTGTTTTGTTTGTTAATTGAAATATTAGTCTTAAATATTAACTCAGTAGAGTAACTCTCACAGAGACCAGCTCCCAAAAATTCATATAACAAAATCCAATAAACACATTGTGCAAATATACAACGCTGCAGTGAAAACACTCTTAACGGACAAACCACTAGGAAACATCAAAAGTAAATAATGTCATAAACGCAAAAGATTTAGAAGCTACTGGGACGTTTGGGGTCAAGACAATGAAACGCACAAACAACAAAAAAAAAAAAAAGAACCAGATTGGAAGGCAAAACTGATGCAAGAAAATATAGGAAACTAGATGTGAGATATCGATATTATATGATATCGATATTATATGATATCGATATTATATGATATCGATATTATATATTAGATATCGATATTATATGAGATATTATATTATATTAGATATCGATATTATATGAGATCAAAAAAACATAAATGTCTCAACACGCAAATGCAGGAAGGCCAAGCGGGAATATCAAATTAAATCGCCTAATTGGTATTCCAACAAATAGATAAACTTTAGTTAAAAGCACAGGCAACAAGAAAAACAAGAAAAGCATTGTAGATTCTATCGCCAAAATAAAATATTCCAAATGGATCTTTACATTTTTTAAATTGTAGAGGAAAACCAGAAAAGCAGTTATACATGTCACAAAACCACCATCTATTTCAAAATCGCAGAAAATTGGGAAGGATATTTTGAGCACCCCAAAAGAATATATGTCCAATGCAGAATGAAAATCGCCAGGAAATGTCAAGTTACCCAATTTTTGCCTTTGTCATCATTCCATAAAACCCTTACAAAAACACTAGCAAT